AGCTAGGAGGAAGGCCATTGTCATGTCAAATGGCTGGGAGTGCATCCCATACCCAGGCTAGGTTCAGCATGATAGACTTTCAAGTTTTTTGTTCACTCTAAAGTTCACAGTGTTGTGGATCACTTTCCCACTTCCCTTGGCATTAGAAGATGCTTGGCCTAGGCTGGGGAGATGGCTTGACAGATAGACTGCTTGCCATGGAAACATGAGGACCAGAGTTCCAATTTCTAGAACCCATACAGAAGCATAAAATCTGGAATACGTGGAAGTCTTCTCTTATCCCAGCACGTTGGAGGCAGAATTAGGAAAGCCTGATGGCAAGCTGGCTAGCTAGACTAGCCAGAATTAGCAAGTTCCAGGTGCAGTGAAGAGCAACTCTGCCTCTGTAAATAAAATGGAGAGCAGTCAAGGAAGACACTTGTCAACTTTGAGTTTGCAATGTATACACACACGCCTCATAGATCACATACACATACTAAAAAGAGGAAGGAAGGGGGGGAGGGAGGGAGGAAGGAAGGAGGGAAGGAAGGAAGGAAGGAAGGAAGGAAGGAGGGAAGGAAGGCCAGTCCTGTGCCTCTGTGAGGTTCTCCAGGATGAGAGGGATTTCTACCCAGCACTCCTTGCTCTCCGACCTTCCCACTCTGTCTTCTTTCATAGCTCCCATCACTTTCAAATATTGCCATAGGGTCAGCTTTAGCTCAAGCGATTATCATCAAATATTGCCATAGCTGACTTATTTATCTTGTTTATTGTCTGTTTCTTCAACTCAGCGTCTGCTGTCCAATGTGGGGGCCACTGGACACAAGGGACTGTTTGGTCACAGGAAATGTGACTGGTCCTAAGTGCCACATGCTATAAGTATAAAATACACATCAGGTTATGAAGACTCGGTATTACAAAGTGAATAGAAGACCTCATCTTTAATTTTAATAACACCACTCGCTGGAGCCAAAGCCTATAAAATTAATCTCATCCCATTCTTACAAAGTAGCTGCTAGAAGTTTAACATGAACTCTATGTTCCACAATGCATTTCTGCTGGAGAGCATTGCAAAAGGCTAGGGGTTGATGGACTGTGGTATGAGTGTCACACGTAGCAAGCCACCTGTTTGGGGGTGGCCCAAGAATAAGCATAGTCATTACATCTCTAAGGGATTATAAGAAAACAAAGAAGTTAAATACACTCAGCAAAGATTACACATGGCCCACAAAGCCCAAACTGCTCTCTCTGGCACTTGGCAGGAAGTCTCTGTTTCTGTTGTTGCTGCTGCTAGGCTGTAACAAGGACCAAGGCTTGAACTTTTGTCGGTTCTGTTTTTCATTGTGTCCCTAGCGCCTCATGTGGTACACACACTGTTGTGCACATAGTAGGTGTTGAGTAAACATTTGATAAGTGGATGGCTGCAATTCCCTGATGGCTGTTGTCCTTGATGCTCCTGGGGCAGATGTGTGCCCATGTCCCCTACATTCCACCACCCTACAGAACAGGGGACCAAACCACGAGCTGGGGTGACCTGGGGATGACACTCTGGGCTGTGTACTGTCTCTTACCATCTGTTTCGAGGTCAGAGTCACTAGAGACCCTTCCAGCTGCTGGGGCTTTGGGCTGGAGGATGTGGACAGGAACTCACCCACTCCTTGACCTCAGAGCAACGCCAGTTGTGGGAGAGAAAGGTCTGTGTGTGGGAAAGGAAGTTAGTCCCGGCTGGGAAAGCGTATTCGGAGGACTTAGTCTTCATTGTGAGATCTCTTCCTGGGAGCCAAGGAGCCTGTACACGGAAGACAAAGTGACGGAGCCTGCAGAGAGAGTCCCAGTCAACACTGGGTCCTGCCTCCCTGTGGAGGGTGCTGTGGCCCTGGTGGCTTAGAAACCAGAACTTGCATTATGTTGTGTGTGTGTGCTTTTAAAGTAGGTTTTGTGTTTTGTCTCCTTCGGGTTCAGCTTTTATATCTTTTGTAATATAATTATTTGTATTCTTAAATTTTATTTTATTTTTTGTTGATTTTTTGAGATAGAGTATATAGTCCTTGCCGTCCTACCCGAAGGCAACCCCACACCCACCCACCACTTGATGCCAGGCTATAGCAATGGAAGCAATGGATGCACTGCTCTGGTCTTCAGTTTCCCACACAGGCTTGGAAATGGACAACTTGAGGGTATAAACCCAATTTCAGTCACTCCTGGGGTGTCTATTGCAAAATTTACCCAAATTTGGGGCTGTCTCACTTCATATGACAAATGATTTGAGTCCCCTCCAGGGTTTTTGGGCTTTGCACTCCGCTCCCTCCGTCTTCCCTGCTCTCTGTCTGTCTGTCTAGCTGCCTCTCATGTCTCCACTCTGAGATGGCCCCTCACTCCTTCACTCACCCCATGCCCCAGTAAGCCTCTCGCACTGACTCTGTTGTTCTGGTATGTTCTCTTTGTGGCTTACCTTGGCAGGGCCCGCCGAAAGGTACCCACTTGGCCTTTTTACTCCCTGGGCTCTCCTGGCGTTTGGCCTGGTCATGCTGGGATTCTACCACAGCAGGTCTCTTTGTTTCTGTCTGCTCCCCCATCCTAAACTGTGTAAACGTCCCATCCTTACATTTTTTTTACAACGTGGGAGTCAGGGCCAGAGGGTCCAGCTGCTTCGTGTCAAGCACATGCCCATTCTCCCTTACAGCGTCTGCTGATCTGGCGCTCAATAAGGTATGTACAGATCATTTGTCTGTGACTGAATTGGATCCCAAGGTTTAGAGTCCAGTTATTCCTACGTTACTTTGCACACGGACACACGTGTGCTCGTCTGACTCCTGAAGCCTACTTCACACACGTGGACATCTCTGCTGCTCACTCCCCCTCCCAGCAGCCTGGGAGACCCACAGCTTAAGCTCTAGCCTGCTGTATTTTCCATACGGCTCTGCCTCTTGCAGTCCACGAGGACACCTCCCTTATCTTCGGCTCCTTCCTGACTTTCTCTCACCTTGCAGTCAGACTGCAGACCCACTATGCTGTCTCCCAGTTTCCGCCTGCAGTCCTGCAGCTCATTTCCACTCTCCGCTTCCTCTTGGAATGTATGGGAACACACTTGCACAGTGTTCCACTTTGCAACTCTCTCTCTCTTACAACAGCCTGGCCTCAATACAAATCAGTGGCCAAAATTGGCGAACTTGTGATTTCCAAGTTCTCACAAATCATTATCTGCTAGTGTCACAGACAAAGGGTCCCCAAATACCTTATATCTGCTACAATTCCAAAGTCCCTTATCTCTAAGGTTCTACTTCCTCACTCTTAAAAATCTTCTATTCCTATGGTTTCTTGCATACTGCTCTATACTGCAAACTTTTATTTCAGGATTTATAAGTTGCTTGTCTGTCATGGTTTAAAATCTATATACTTTGTAAAAGAGTCTGTTTCCGGCAGAAAGTTTTGTATGTCTCACTGTTAAAAAGCTCTATTTTGTATGTATGTATGGATCTGTACATATATGTTTTCTTGTGGACATGGGACCACACAGAATTACTTCAGGCTCAGTTGGGTGTGTGAATGTATGTGGTCACTGCATGCTTGTTTCTGAGTTTATATGTTCTGTGTATCTTGGTAATATTTCAAGCTATAGCTATTGCAACTAGCTGCCTGGGCTTTCTGGCCACTGAATCTGATGCAATAGCAGAGATTCATATGTCATTTGGGTATAAATAATATCAAAGTTATTTTATGCTGTTTTACCTTATTAAAAAAACTGCTAAGGAAATGGATATGGTTAAAAATCTGTAACCGAAAGTTAACTTAAAACTTGTAACTCCAAATTGGAACTCCTTTGGGAAATAACATGTGGTTTGTCACCATCTTAATTAAGTACAGCCATGTGGGAAGTCAGTATTTTGACCAAGGTTGGAGAAGGAGATGTCATGTGACTTCACCGCCATCTTGATTAAAGTCTAAGCACATGGAGTGAGCCTACCAATGAGACAAGGAGGTCTCCAAGACATTTTGGATTAGAAAGAACTTTTGTATGATAATTTCTGTCCTGTCCTAAAAACAAGGTTTATGAAAGACAGGAGGACTTAAAACAATGCTGTTTTAATGAGGTGTTAAGGATTCACCTCCATGTATCCATGTACAGCCAGATTTTGTTTGTCTAACCTTGTTTTTACTAACATTGTTAAGCTATAGCTAGTTTGTTAAACTAAGTCCTACAGAAAACTGTTTTGTTTATAATGGTGTACTATAAAAGGATCAGGAACTATCCCAGTCTCTTTGTGGACTGTGCTCATGAGTTAAAAGTATTATCTTGATGTTAAAATAGCTTCCATTTAGAAGTTGTTATTTTTTAAGGCTAACCTTAACAGGGCTAAAACTATAAAATCCTAAGTTTACAAGATGTACAAGTTAACCATCAGTCACCTTGTAAAGGGTCAACTTCTTTGATATGTTCAAACTTATCTTCTCAGATATTCTAAAAGCTAAACCTAAAACAAGTAACTAGAAACAAACAACTTTTGTCTAGTTTAGATAAACCTCACAGATAATGGTCCTCAAACGCTTCAGAGCTCTGAAAATATGACATTCAAAATGTTTAATAAAAAAGCTTTTTGTGATAGAGACATGCCAGCCTCTGGCAGCACCTCTATCAGCTCCAAAGGAAAAGGATGGACACAAAAGAATTTCTATCTGAAGTTTGCTTTAAATGTAGCAAGTCCAGTCATGGAGTGGAGAAAACTGCCTTTCACCTCAACTGTGCAAAACCCCGTCCCCCCAAGTCCCTATTCCACAGGAGAGTCTGTCAGAGTTTCTGTCCCCAACAGTCATGGAGGAACCTGGGGTAGCTGTCTTGGTAGCTGGTAAGTCTTGTTTCACTCCTGCTTATTCAGGTGACATTTATCCTTCCCTGATCTGATGTTTTTTGATGACTAGGGTACAGATCTTCACCAGTTTAACAGCTCCCCAGCACCCCCCCCCAAGGCTACAACCATCTTGGTAGCTCATTACGTTTCTTGTCAAAAATACAGACAGGTTTGTCTTGCTCACAGACTTCACAGAAAAGGATACACAGGCTTCGGATGCAACTAAAGGAACACGGAAAATTACTTAAGGTGTGTAAAGATGCTTCTGACTTCTGCGCCCTTTCTAGGCTACTATCATGCTGGGATTTCGGAGCTTCCGAGTTTTAGCGTTGATAAATGGAGCTCTGAAAAACTGATAGAGCACTGGCTATTTACTATCCAGTCACAAGTTCAAGATTTGAAAATTCCTCAAGTTGTTTTCTAAGTGTAGACTTAGAGAGAGGTGTGTTTCATCAGGCTAAATCCAGGCTCTCTAGACACAAGAAGAAGGTTCATACCTTTTAACTCAAAGCTATAGCCTTTGCTTAGTTAGACACCAAGGTGTAAATCTGTCCCAGCTGTTTTAAAGACACCTACATGTTCTTGGGGAAAGAGTGCTGTTACTGTATCAAGGAATCTGGCCTGGTGGAAACTAATATTGAGTCAATCCACAAACTGTCAATACATCCAGGGCATATCTCCGTTCCATTCTTACTGTCAGTCTTTACTCTTCCCTGGGCTAGCTTGTAAGCTGATGTGCCAAATCACTTACCTTCTCCACTTCCTCCCAGAACAGATTCCTGAGGTCTCCAGGATGGCAGTTAACCGAATGATTCTTCACCCATACCTCTGGCTGAATATGAGCCCACCAACTTCCAACTCCCCCGCCCCCCCTCACGCCATATCACGTCAACGAGAAGTACCCAGATTTAAACAGAGGCACGTATACCAAAGAAGGTTGGGGTGTTTGACTGGAATCACCAGCTCAACCCTATTTCTCTCTCTCCAAACCCTGGCCTCTCAGAAAAACCACCAAAAAGTCTAGTTCCCCAATCCTGGGGATTGTGGCAGCTCCTCCCCTGAAGTTGCTGGCTGCCCAATTCCTGCCCAAAGCATTATAGTTGGGTGCAAACCTAGCCTGTGGCAGACGTCATCACCCTGCACGTATTCAAGCTCCCTCCTTTACATCAGCCATGTGATTTTTTTTTCCCTGCCTCAATCTCTGGGGGCTGGAGGAACTACCCAGGAGTTGCTTTGCTCAGAATAAACTTGGTCTTTTACCTTTTTAATTCAGCTTGATCTGGCTTACTGCACCAGAGGAGAAACCTATTATTGGGGTACAGAAAACCTATTAGGTGGTTCCTGCAGATGGCACAATGAAGGAGACCACTCTGCTGGGGGAGGTGACTTGAGCACTTTAAAAATTATTATGCTTTATTTATTCATTCTGTGTTCTCTCTCTCTCTCTCTCTCTCTCTCTCTCTCTCTCTCTCTCTCTGTGTGTGTGTGTGTGTGTGTGTGTGAGTGGGTGGGGGGGGAGTATGTACATGGCATGGCGTGTGTGAGGAGGTCAGAGGACCAGCTTTGGGAGTTGGTTCTCTCCTTCTGTCAAGTGGGCTCCAGGGATTGAACTCAAATCTTCCCACTTGGTGGCAAGCATCTTTATATGCTGAACTGTAGTAACCAGTCCCCCATTTTAGCAGCCATTACAGGCTAACATGTGCTTGCATGACTTTGCTGCTCCTGTCCTGGTCACTAAGGTCAGATCCCCTCCTCATGGCAAAGGCTGTGCTTTACAGCTATGGGTGGGCATAACAGTGACCTGCAGAACATAGCAACCGCCCTGGGAGGGCCTATGGGCCATAACAACCAGTTGACCAATCAACACAGGGCAGGTCACCCAAACCTGGAAGCGCACCAATCCTGAGGCTGTTTCATAACCCCTAGACACTCCCCTTACGCTGCCCTTTAAGGTCCCTGCCTCGAGGTTGCTTGGGGTCTTTCTCCAGCCATCTGCCATGGTGGTGGGGTGAAGGGCCCAAGCTAATGGGGTTAGCTCGTTAAACATCTACAATAAAAGAGTCTTTGCTTTTGCATCGAAATGGGCCTCTTCATGATTCTGGGGTTCAGAATTTAGGCACAACAGAACCATCTGAAAAGTACTCTTTTTAAAAACACTGATAGAAATCAACTCCAGCTATTTGCCCAACATAAGTATAGCTGGGGCCTAGCGAAGCTGGGAGAGTGCTTACCTAGCAATGCATGCATCCCTGTGTTTGACCTCCAGTGGTGCATAAGTCAGGTGTGGTACCATATGCCTGCAATCTCTACACCCCAGAGGTGAAAGCAGGGCATCAGAAATCCAAGTTCATCCTTGACTATACAGACTTTGAGACCAGATCATGTCTGTGTTACAAGCAGATCATGTCTTAAAAAAAAAAAAGAAAGAAAAGGAATAGAGATGGGTCAGGAGCAGCATGTAGGCAAGTGCTCTCCCAGTCTTGCCACAACGTTTTAGGGCAGTCTGAGTGCACAGGGGTGAGGGAGAGCCTACCCAGAGGAGAATGTGGATGAAAGGGTTGGAGACAGAACTGCACTTGAACTTCAGAATCCTCTTGCGTAGGTGGACATCTATAGGGGCAGCTGGGGAGGGAGTTGGGTGGGGAGGACTTGAATGCTGAACTCAGAGTGGGGAATAACATTGGCCAAACGATGGGAAACCTTTGGGGCTGGGAAGGTTTTGAGTAAGAGACCTATGGCTCAGGGGAGTGAAGGTCTTGCACAAGCTCCACAGACTGAGAGAGCTGGACCTTTGGGGCAGCCACTGCCGCCTTTGATAACAGTGTTAATGACTCTAACTCACTTTAGTCCATTAACGAGTCTTTATTGAGCTGGAGCAGGCGCCAGGAGTGCGTGGGTGTTAGCTGGTATGCAGGCGCCTAGAAGCCCTGCCCCCACAGGAGATGGTCATGTGAGCGCCCCTGAACAGAATCTGAGGCTGAGGAGGTGTTGTCTCCTGCGCCTGTCGCCACCCCTGGGCTGCAGCGCCTTCCCGCATGCATCCCTTCACGCTGGTGAAGCCTCTATTCACGGGGTGGGTGATTGAAGTGACGTCACTGTGGACACTTGGGGTAAACTTCAGTCTTTTCCAGCGTTTCCTGCTTTTCATCTCCCTTTGCTGCCACAGGTAAGGCAGCATCAGGAGAGGTTAGGAGGAAGCCCAGGACTCCTGACTGACAGTGGGGGCCGGAAGCACCAAAAAGAGATGCTATCTAGAAGTGATCCCAAGCCAGCCTGGAAGAGAATAATTCATGCATATGTGTGGGATCTCATGGCTATGCGCGCGCGCACACGCGCGCACACACACACACACACACACACACACACACACACACACACACACACACACACACAGAGACCTGAAACAAATAATGCCCATGGGGTTGGCTGTGTTAGACTTAGGACAAGGTAGGAGCCCCGCCCTTCCATTCCTTTGACCATATGGTCCTGGCTTACAAAGCTGACAGTGCTGAAGGGGCAGAAGCGGGATTCTATCCTGCCTTGCTTGGTTCAGCTCCTGTTTCTGGCTATGGCACCAATTCCTGTCTGCAGTAAGCCTCGGCTTCTCCATGGGCATCGTGGTATCAAGTCTTTGCTTGAAACCAAAGCCAGACGATCACTTCAGTGGGCTTTCTGGGTTGCCTACAGAGAGGTTTTAAGAGGCAGGAGTTGCCTGGGCTTTTGGACAGGATCCCAAGAAGTGTTGAAATATTAATCCCATTTCACAGATGTAAAAAACCAAGGCCCAGGAAAGTAGAGAGACAGCCGAGACCACACTACCAAGCCCTGCAGCCTGGTCCTTGCCCCCAGGAGATGCTGAAGTCTCTGTCCAGGGCTGTTTTTCCACAGCCTGGGTACCATGGCGCTCATTGTTTCATGATAGTTTTGAGTGTCTCATTTGCTTTTCTTTTCCTCCTCCTCCTCCTCTTCTTTAAAAAAAATAATGGGGACAGTCTTAACTCTTACCCTAAATTGACTTCAAACTCACAGCAATCCTCCTGCCTCGTCTTCCTGGGTGCTGGGATTATAGGACTGTGCCAGCTTGCCCAGCTGCAAGGCTGCATTTGTATTTGACTGTATGTGGGGTGGCCTGTGAGCAGGCTGCTGTCTGCTTGTGAGTATAGAACTGACAAGAGGCGCCGGCAGAGTGTGGAGACTGTCAGCAGAGCGGCCGCCTGTGAAATTAACATGATATCAAAAGCGTCAGTGTTTATTTACTGGAAATATCTGGACAGGATGCAGATCAGGCTTGCAGCTGGTGCCTGAGTGTGAGGGTCACCTCTGCCGGTCCCTCAGCAGCCACTAGGCCCTGCTGGCCGAACCAAGTGAATCCCTGGCCAAGACCTCCATTCTTCCTCACCCGATGAGAATCAGCACTCGGAAAAAGCAGGACTTCGAGGACATTTGTTCTACCATGGTGTCAAGTTCTAGTGCATAGTGTGGGGCTTTCTGAGGCCTGTGCTCCCTGGAGGACTAAATGATTAAAGCAGGGGGGGGGGACTCCTGGCCCTGCAGATCAACTCTCCTTTCTCCCCAGCCAGGTAGGAACAGCTAGCTTTCCTTGGACCCTTAGCCTTACCTGATTGGGCCAGATTGATGTCACCTGACTGAATTCAGCCAATCATAATGTATATCGTAGGACTTTGCACTCTGGGAGCCTTAGAGATTTGGTTAGAAGCTTGGAGCTGAGATTGAGGTGTCTGGAGAAGAGTGGAACTGGGGTACAGAGGTAACCGGCTCCCAAGCGGAGACCCCCTCCCCCACCCTGGTGGTTTCCAGATTGGGAGAGGAAAGCTGGAGAATTAAGAGTTTGTTTGTTTGTTTTAGTTTTTCGAGACAGAGTTTCTCTGGGTAACAGTCCTGGCTGTCCTGGAGCTCGCTTTGGAGACCAGGCTGGCCTGGAACTCATGGAGATCTGCCTATCTCTGCCTTCTGAGTGCAGGGATTAAAGGCCTGCGCCACTGCCTGACCGAGATTTTTTTAAATGTGTTATTGCTGGGCCTTGTGGCACATACCTTTATTCTCAGCGCTGGGGAGACAGAGGCAGGCAGAGTTCTGTGCCTGGTCTACAAAGAGAGCCCCAGGTTAGTCAGGGCCACAGGATAAAATCCTGTCACAAAAAACCATCATTGCTGTTGTTGTTATCATTGGAGAAGGAGGTAGCATATGCTACAGTGGGCATGGAGGTCAGAGGACTTCGTAAGAGTCAGTTCTCTGCTTCCTTCCTTCCTTCCTTCCTTCCTTCCTTCCTTCCTTCCTTCCTTTCTTTTTGTTTTTGTGGGTTTTTTTTTCCGAGACAGGGTTTCTCTGTAGCTTTGGAGGCTGTCCTGGAGCTAGCTCTTGTAGACCAGGCTGGTCTCGAACTCACAGAGATCCGCCTGCCTCTGCCTCCCAAGTGCTGGGTTTAAAGATGTGCATCACCAATGCTCGGCTGCAATCATGTTTCTTCTTCTTCTTCTTCTTTTTTTTTTTTTTGGTTTTTACGAGACAGGGTTTCTCTGTATTGTTTTGGAGGCTGTCGGTCCAACCCAGTCTTGAACTCACAGAGATCCGCCTGCCTCTGCTTCCCGAGTGCTGGGATTAAAGGTGTGCGCCATTACTGCCCAGCTGTGCAATCATGTTTCTTAACATGTCACTGTGATCTTATGTTCCTTCCAGGGATACTGGCCCTGGGACAGAGCCTGACTGAGCAAGATGACAAGAAATTGAGTTATTTGGGAAGGTTGAAGAGGCCACTCACCCATGATATATATGGTAACTAAGTCAGGAATTCTGCTGTGTCCTACAGACCTGAAGCCCACTGAGAGGCAGGCTAGGGGACCACTGAGGAGAACAGAACCAATGCTCCATTTCTTGGGACATTCCCTTGCTGGCCTTAGCTCCTCCAGGGTCTGAAAGTTAGAGGCAGGACTTGTTGTGACTTACACACCTTCCCCAGCCTCCCTCTTGACAAAACCAAGTTCAAACATCCCAGACAAGGGTTCTGAGCTGCAGGAGGTTAGGGCAGGTGATGATTCTCAACAGTAGGGACAAGTGGATATGACCAGTTCAGAGTGGGTCGGGAGCCCTCTCTTAAACCAGCCATGACTAGAGGAGGGGGTCCTACCAGACTGCAGTTCCCACTCACCCCGCATGGTCAGGGGGTGGGGGAGGCACACACCTCCAGAACTGAGACCATGTGATCAGATAGAACAAGTGCTGTCCTTTCTGTTTTTGTAGCACAGGAATG